CCGAGTCAGCAAGCCCAACGTGTCACTCTCAAGCTTGCCAGAATGTTTGGTTAAATGAATGTTCACCCAGGACTGATAGTGAAGCACTTGCAGATCCAGCAACCACATTGTCAGGGAGGTGTACATCCATTTTATCCGTCAATGCTTGTCCTGTGGACAGACAGAAGTTGCCTTACAATGGTGAATCTCAACAGCAAGTTCTTTAGGTCCAGTGGAACAGGTCAGGAAAGTGGAAGTTAAGGCACCAGCAATTCTATTAGGTCATCAATATATTTTCACATGCATTACTAGAAATGCATGTGTAACTTTCTCCAAGTGATCATTCAGCTGCTGCTAGGAAGCGATTACATCTCAAGGTTTATGTTCCTGAGTATGGCATTACCATTTTTAATTTATAGTATGTAATTGTTAAAATCAGGGCTGTGGTAAACAGGTTTACTTTATCCTATGAAACTGTTTGCAATGCACAAAAATGCTAAGGAACTGAAAACTAAATCTGTATCAAAATGTGTAGTTTTTATTCAAAAAGAAAATATTTGCTACTGCACTGAAATGCTCTCCAATATGCCCAGGCCTACCCCCACCTATCTGAATGTGTGACTTGACTTTGCCACAGGACATGCTGGGTCTATATCCAGTTGCTACAATTTTGGTGGAGACGAAGGCATTACAATTTGCTCCTACGAAGAAACCAATTCCACCTGTTCAGGGTCCTGAAAGTCGTTTGTCATACTAGCACCAATTTGCCCAACTTCTCCAAGAAGATGCAGTAATTGCCACTACTATGCCCCATGGTCTTCAATTTAGTCTACTAGTACAGATGAAAGTATGAATGGCTCAGCCAGCAGATGGTGCTATTTAAGCTGTGACAAATACTAGAACCATTTAACTGTTTTATATAACTTTGTTCTATTCATCACTACTACAGCTGCCATATCATGAACACTTGCATTCTGAATGACAAGCATTTTACCATGCAGTTAATTTCACCTCTTGTTCCTTTAAGGATACCGACCTTTGGGACAGAGCAGCCAGTTGTAGGTCTTTGTCACCTCAGTTCCCTCAGCCTGAGAGA